ATAACTCAGGAATAACTCAGGGGTAACTAAGGTAATGCATGAATAACTCAGGAATAACTAAGGGGTAACTAAGGGGTAACTCAGGAATTACTCAGGGGTAACTCAGGGATAACTCAGGAATAACTCAGGGGTAACTAAGGGATAACTCAGGAATAACTCAGGGGTAACTAAGGTAATGCATGAATAAATCGGGAATAACTCAGGGGTAACTAAGGGGTAACTCAGGAATTACTCAGGCGTAACTCAGGGATAACTCAGGAATAACTCAGAGGTAACTAAGGGGTAACTCAGGAATTACTCAGGGGTAACTCAGGGATAACTCAGGAATAACTCAGGGGTAACTAAGGGGTAACTCAAGAATTACTCAGGAATAACTCAGCAATAACTCAGGAATATCTAAGGGATAACTCAGGAATAGCTTTATCAAGTCCCTCCAGACCCCAAAGAGTTTACATTTACAGACATTCACCCATCCGCACACACTCAAACACTGATGATGGTAAGTTATAGCCACAGTTGCCCTGCGCCACACTGACATAACTAAGGGGTAATTCAAGAATTACTCAGGAATTACTAAGGAGCAACTCAGAGATAACTCAGGGGTAACTAAGGGGTATCTCAATAATAACTAAGGGGTAACTCAGGATTAATTCATGGGTAACTCAGGGATAACTCAGAAAGACCTCAGCAATAACTTAGAAATAATTCAGAAATAACTCAGGGATAACTCAGGGGTAACTCAGTAATAACTAAGGAGTAACTCAGTAATAACTAAGGAGTAACTCAGTAATAACTAAGGAGTAACTCAGTAATAACTAAGGAGTAACTCAGGAATAACTAAGGGATGACTCAGAAAGACCTCAGCAATAACTCAGGGGTGACTCGGGGATGACTAAGGGGTAACTTGGGTATAACTCAGGAGTAACTCAGGGATACCCTGAAAGTAAGTATTGATTTTTACTTTTTTTTAACTGTTCAGCATTTTGTTGAAAGCGCTTTATAAATAGTTATTATTATTATTATTAAGTAGTGGGTACAGATAATGGATGGATGGATGGATGGATGGATGGATGGATGGATAAATCAGGGATAACTCAGGAAAGGCCTAACTTAGGGATCTTTGGGATCCAGTAGTAAAGAATGTTGTTTTGTTTTTGTCAGTTTATATGACTGATGAAGATTTATGACAATAAAAACGAAACATTGACGAGGTGAAAACGCTTTAGTACATCAGGAAGTCCAGTCAGTGACACCATCTGGTCCACACAATGAGACACGGCCTGAGGATCTCGGACATCACACTGGACCGCGTGGACCTGAACACAGACAGAAAGTCCTGTTGGATCTGTTCACATCAGACTAATACTGAGTTCAGTTCTGAATGTTCACCTTGTTTCCAGTCAGGCTGGTGATCTCCTCTGCTGTTTTTTGCAGAACCTCCAACTTCCTGATCAGACAGACAGGAAGTCAAGAACAGACAGGTAATTAGTAATTAAGTGCACGTGTAGGTGTGCATGTTGGGAAGATGTGCCTTCTGACCTGCTGGCGATGACACACTGAGCTCCCAGCTGGGACAGAACAGCAGTCATGGTTTGACCCAGTCCAGTTCCACCCCCTGTGATGAAGGCCACTTTGTTGTTGAAGCTTCCTGCTGGCAGCATGACGCCTTCAGCTGGAGGGAAGAACCTCGAGTGAGGAGCAGAACCAGACCGAGGAGCTGCAGACCTGTGGAACCATGACTGAGACACAACAGACACAAGACCATCATGTTCCCATTTTCTGTTGCAGTCAAAGTTCTGATTTGATCAGACTCATCTGGGTCTGAATGTTGGAAGGTGTAGGTCACTCAGAGATGATGCAAAGAATTGTGGGAAAGAATGACGCCCCTGTTTTAAAGAATGTATTGATGTTTCTTAAAGGAGATGATAAAATGTTGCTTCTGATTGACCAGAACCATGTAGATCCCAGGTTACCAGAGTGGGCTGCAGTCCAGATCCAGGCCCTCAAAAATCTTATTCGGGTCCAAATTGATTTCAGCAGAACATTTTTTTAAACTCCATATCTGTCATTATTAAATTTAAGCGTGTGGCTTTTCCAGGTTTTACAGTAATTTGTGTGGTTCATGGCCAGGTTTGACAGATCGGGTCAAAGTTTGTTTCCTTTCAAAACAAGCCTCACAGACCAACAAGCTGCACACCATATGAAATATATAAAATACAAAAAACTAGAAGTACTCTGACAGTACAAACCTCCCCCATGAGCCCTGGGTTGCAGTTCTGGTGCAGAATAATTCAGCATAATAATAATCTCTGAAATTTATGCGTGCAGAACTATCAAAGCTGGCATCACAGCATGAACTTTTGATCAGATTGATTGAAGATGTGAAGCTGTTGAAAACTGTAAAAGAGATAAAAAGATAGCTGAACTGGAGCAAAGGCTGGATGATCAGGGAATGGTAAATGTCTTGAACTTATGTAGCACCTTATCAAATCCACATGGACCCCAAGGCACTTTACACTTCAGACATTCACCCACTGATGGTGGTAAGCTACACTGTAGCCACAGCTGCCCTGGGACACACTGACAGAGGTGGGGCTGCCATGCACCAGCGCCATCGGACCCTCTGACCACCATCAGTAGGCAAAGTGGGTGAAGTGTCTTGCCCAAGGACACAACGACTGAGACGGCTGGACGGGGATCGAACTGGTGACCTTCCAGTTCCAGGATGACGCGCCTAACCACACTTAACAGCCAGGAAGTATCTGAGTTCAAATGTCTGGAGGTTATTGTAGACTCCAAACTAAAGTTGGATTTTCATGTTAAGAAAATGTCCAAGACTATCCAGACTAGAATAAAATGGTTCATCTGATAAGACCCTGTATATCTACCAAAGCAGATCAAATGGATATCATGTAGTGGTACCACCACATACTGTGAAACGGTTGGGCAGCCTTGTTAATTCTCCTGATTTATCTTTATAAATCATTGATTGTTTGGATTAAAAACATCAGTTAAATATATCATATAGAGGACAAACACAGTGATATTTGAGAAGTGAAATAAAGTTTATATGATTTACAGAAAGTGTGCAATAATGGGTTAAACTAAATTAGACAGGTAGCTCCTCCTTTCACAGAAATAACAGCCTCTAAACTCTTCCTACAGCTTCTAATGAGAGTCTGGATTGTGTCTGAAGGTATTTTAGACCATTCTTCTTTACAAAACATCTCTAGTTCATTCAGGTTTGATGGTTTCTGAGCATGGACAGCTCTCTTTAAGTGACACCACAGATTTTCAATAATCTTCAGGTCTGGGGACTGAGATGACCATTCCAGAACGTTCTACTTGTTCCTCTGCATGAAGGCCTCAGTAGATTCTGAGCAGTGTTTAGGGTGGTTGTCTTGTTGGAAGATGCAGCCCCGGCTTCAGCAGCTTCAGCTTTGTCACTGATTCCTGGACATTGGTCTCCAGAATCTGCTGATACTGGTTGGAATCCATGCGTCCCTCAACTTTAACAAGATTCCCAGTCCCTGTACTGGTCCCACAGCCCCACAGCATGATGGAACCAGCCCCACATGTTACTGTAGGTAGCAGGTGTTTTTCTTGTTCTGCCCAAATAACTCTATTTTAGTTTCATCAGTCCACAGCACCTTATTCCAACATGAAGCTGGCTTGTCCAGATGTCCTTTAGCAAACCTCAAGCACAGTGGTGGATGCTGGTCTTTCAAGGAGAGGAAGCTCAGTTTTAGCCTACATAATAAAGTGTGTGGGTTATAAATTCTACCCTCCGTTCATTTTAAAGGAAATGATCAGTGACCCTGTCACCGATCATTTTTTTATTTTATAGTATTTATTCATTTCATTTTAAAAAACAAAACATTACAAACAACAAAACAATACAAAAACAATAAAATGAAAGGCAGCAGAAGAAAAAGATCTTGATATCTGCTCCTATTTACAAMAAWTATTAATTTCAAACAATAAACCAAAYAATAAAACAAAACTAAAAATTCAACTCCTCAAACAGTGACTCATACAAATACAAATTAAATAATTTCATATTTCTTTGACAATTTTGCTTTGATGATTTTTTTAAAGGAATTAATTGATCCAATGCTTTTATAATCATTTTCCAGGTTATTCTATAGTGTTTTACAGCAGCCAGCTCTGTTACACCAGGACAGCTGAAAACATCTGTTATTTCCCCACTGTGGGATCAATAAAAATGTTTCTTTTATCTTACTTTTCCCCACCATTTGCACCAAATTAATGTGAGGAGTTGATCAGCCCTGCTGTTTAACTCTAAGTGTTTCTTTGTAAATAAGTCTGTATCAAATGGCTTCTCCAAAACCCGCTCCACAACATTCAAACTGTCTGACATTATGTGCAGCTTGCTACCTAGCTAACTCACTGGCTGAGACTGACGTGAGGCTAGAGTGAAGTGTGTCCACCTGTGATGTGCTTCGTGACGGTGGAGGGGCTCAGCAGCTCCCGCTGGACAGAAACTGATAGACATCAGAAAGAGTGATAGAAGTCTGTCTCCAAACACAAGCAGATACAGTAAAACCCACCAGAAATAAAAACTTGATTTGTTGCTAGTCGTTTTTAACAAAGAAAACGCTGCTAAGACGATTAGGAAAGTCTCTGGTTCAGCTCAGAATAGAAACAAAACTAAAAACTGCTCCACTGAATGTTTACACCAAAAGATCTCTGATTCGCTCATTTTGCTGTCAATCAAAAAGGGATTCAGCCTCAGACAGATCATCCAATCATCATGCAGAATCTGGGCGTCCGAACCCACCCACTGCCCCACAGACCCCCAGAGACGCTGAGCGTCCGGGGGCGGGACAAAGCCCAGCATTTATCCAATGACTTGTCTCGTTTCGCTGCATTTTTTTGCCTCATATTGAAGTCTGTGGACGCTGAGCGTCCGACTGTTTAAAGCTGTGAAGCTGCAGGACTGAGGGAGAGGAAAGCTGCGTCGTTACTGTGATAAGAAGCTGATTCTGAACAAAAGTTGAGCGTGATGTAGCACACATTTAGTTAATGACATGACCACACAACACTGTATATTTGATCTTTTTTTTACATTTTAGGGGAAGCTGAGCTTCCCTTAAAGTCTTAGAGCAATTTTGTGATGTGGGCGGAGACAAGGCTTCCTCTGCATCACTCTCCCATACTGCATCTCCTTGTGTAAAGTGTGCTGAATAGTTGAACGATGCACAGTGACTCCATCAGCAGCAAGATGATGTTGTAGGTGTTTGGTGCTGGTCTGTGGGTTGACTCTGACTCTTCTCAACATCCTTCACTTCTGTTTATTCCAGATTTTACTTAGACCACAGGCACAGATCAAGTGTAGGCTCCAAGTGGCAGACCAACATTTTCTCACAATGGGCCTCATGCAAGAACATGTTCGTATTTTTATCCTAAATTTCTCTTTTGTTCGTACAAAGGGTTCGTACGAACATGTCA